CACACACACACACACACACACACATACCTCTTATCAGAAAACCCCGCTGAAGGAACAATGATGATGAAAGCTGTGAAGCATGTTAATGATTTAACACAAAGACGTCCATTCATCCTATGCGTTCCCAGTAACACTTTCACCTCTGTTAACCATAGTGTAAAAACCTCTGTAATCAACAACCTACGAGGTAACACAGTAACTGTGGTAAATGCATATGGTGTAACTTGTTATTGTAGAGAATCGCGGTCACCACCGACTCTTTGCAGGAACACAAAGGCCGGATTCAGCAGGACAGTGGCCTCCCTTTGTGAGCGTTCACAAGAAATGTAATCCACTTCTCCAGGCCATGTGTGCACTGAGGGATCTTTGAGGACTTTGTTTTGTCCCCCACAATAAACCTGTTTTTTTCCCACCAGACAGTCATTTTGAAAAGAGAATGAGAGCTGCCCCCTTTTTTCTCCGAGCTCTTTTCAAAGCATTTGAACATAACCACCAGTCTAGGACATTCTCCAAGCTACTGCAGAACAGCCACCTCTGCTGTGCACATTGTCTCGCCTCCCTCACATTTGCCCTTTACACCCCGTTTTCAGCAAATATCTGGTATCGTCTGGACATCAGCATACAAGCGCAGTGTGAGCTACAGCTGATAGAGTGGACTCCAAAATACTAACTTCCACTGAGAGGACACACGGGCTGTAAATGTGTGCAAGAGCATTTGAGCTGAAGGAAGTGACACCGTGGGCTGTTTTTAGAAAGAATCTGCAAGTGGTTAATCTTCTTATATGTTGCCTTCAGAAAGGCCAAGCAGTTCACATATGCTGACTAGTGCCGAGAACATCTTAAAAAAAAAAGAAAGAAAAAGACTGAAAGTTTGCACGATGAGGATGTAGCAGTACTTTCAGCTCTTACAGTCACTTCATTGATATACTGACTTTATCACAAGAATTCCAGTTATGACAATATTATTAAATTCAGCTACTGTGGTTTCAGTATATACAAACCAGGAGTGGAAAAAGTATTCAATCACCTTAAAAAAGTATTTTGCTAACCCTAGAACTAAGTTTTTTATTTACACGTTGTCTGTTTTGTTACTGATATTGTTTTAATGCTGTATTTTAATTTTCTATATTCTGTACTATTTTATTCCCTGACCTTCTTTGAAAAGTGCTGTATAAATAATCTATTATTAGTATTATTGTTGTTGTTGTTGTTGGTGTTATTAAGTAAAATTAAACCATCACCACACAATAAAAAATACTCCGTTCCAAGTAAAAGTTGTGAATTCAAAATTTTGCTGAAGTAGAATTATAGAAGCATGATCAAAATGTTCTTTTAGGTATACTTATATTACTTACTACTCTTGTACTATTATCATGAAGACTGGCTCCTGTCATGATTTTATCAGTATAAATGGACCGTTATGGTTTATATATTACAATCTTATAGTGATGGATTTGGTAAATGTGGTACAACAGTATAGCTACAGTAGAATTTGGTATTCTCATATCTAAGAGGATATCATATTGAGTAAAATGATCATATTTTTACCTTTTTATCTGCATTTGTTTGTTAGCTTGATTGTTAGCAGAACAACATGAAAACTACTCAATTGATCTCCATGAAGTCTTGTGAAGGAGTGAGGTACGGCTGAACGAACAACCTTTCAAATTCTGCTGCAGATCAAATCATTTTCTTTGGGCATTTTCTTAACCTTTCAATTGATTTCTCTGAGAATAATTTGTGGATCTTGATTTCAAAAATCAGACATGTTTAGGGGACTGATAATTATGACTGTGTGAAATTCAGTGCAGATCCAAATGAAAATCTAGCTCTATGCTGAGTTTATAGTTGGGCTTTGGGGGAGGTACGCACTCCACTGTGCCATGCCAGTTGTTAATGTTTTAATGAACTAGAAAAACTAAGTGATGTAATTGGTCAAGTTGGTGCTGACTAAACCTAACAACAGTACAGTTTGGTACTTAAATATTTAAGAAGATAAAAATATTTAGCAAACTGATTTTACTCTTAGCACTGTAACAGAAAATTAACTACAATCACTCAGGTCCATGTGGTTCAGGGGGGTACAAATATTGTAGAGTACTTGAGTAAATATATGTAGTAACTTCTCATCACTGATACTCAACTGTCTAAAAATACACACTACAATATATTCTAACATGAGTATAATAAATAAACACACACACACACACACACTATAATAACCTTGGGAATGTAATGTAATGATTGATTATGACTTTACAGTTGGTGTTGTTATCCACCCACATTATAGGCTGCTGTGTGTGTGTGAGTGTGTGTGTGTGGTTCCTGCGCACTGCCTGGTTTAAATGAGCCAGCGTTTGCGTAAGACTTCATGTCCACTATGTGCACACTAAAGAGAAGGGACAGAGCAGAAAAAAAAAAAAAAAAGCAATCGCCTTAAATCATTTGCAGCTCGGTCACGTTCCTCTCACGTTTTTCCCGCTGGCTGACAGTCAGCTGGAGTCTGCGGGCAGGGGGACGCGCTGCTCGGCTCTGATTGGCTGGGGGGTGAGGGGTAAGGGGAGGGGGCTGGGAGGACATGGCTGATGGTAAACACGCACACTGTCCTCTACCTGAGGGACAATAACATGGAGCACGGACGCTGCTCTCTGTGGGATATGAAGACTGGAGAGGTCCCATTCACCATTCCACTGTGACTGATCTCGTCAGCTGTCATCTGTGTGGCTGCCTGTCGTTACACGTCTATTGTTCGACCATATGTTCTCAACACACCCTGGGATGTTCCCCTTGTCTGTCTCACAGATCTCACGCTGTCACACTAGCAATCGTGTCGATGATGTTATATAATTGCCGTCATCGTATTTCCATCATTGTAATTCATGGATCCAAGTCGTGCCACCTTGAATGGACCCCGAAGGTCACAATAACAACATGTTCAGCAACAACAACAACAACAACACAACGTCCAGCGATGCTACACTGTGAGAGCCATGTGTGTTATTCCTGAGAGAGATCAGTGAAATCTAACGACAGTCTGTTGGTTTGATGGAGCTTCCATTCAGCGTGTAGGACAACAGGCAGGAACAACAACAACAACAACAACACAATGTCACACAACGTGTAGAAACGTTACACTGGTGTGTCTCTTATCCTCCAACACAAATAAAATGTCAGTCTATTTGATGGAGCTGTTCCATTAGAGTTTCCTTTCAGCGCTTCTGACAACAGGCAGCGACCACAACAATAGTAACAACAACAACAACAACAACACAATGTCACACAATGTACAGTCTCTTATCCCCTACCTCAGATCAGTGAAATCTAATGACAGTCAGATTGACGGAGCTATGACAACAGGCAGGAACGACAACAACACAATGTCACACAACGTGTAGAAGCGTGACACTGGTGTGTCTCTTATCCTCCAACACTCATCAGTGAAAACAAATGTCTGTTTAATGGAGCTGTTCCATGACAGTTTACTTTCAGCGGGTTTGACAACAACAACACAATGTCACACAATGTACAGTCTCTTATCCCCTACCTCAGATCGGTGAAATCTAATGTAAGTCTGATGTTCCATGAGAAACTTTACATTCAACATATACGACAACAACCAGAACAACCAGCACTACCAGAACAACCAGCACAACCAGAACAGCGGCGGCAGCAGCCCCGTGTCCCGCGGGTGTTTACCTGAGGTTCTCCGGGGTGAAGGCTCGGTTCAGGTCCGTGTCCACGTACCGGGTGCACTTCTCCACGGCCCGCGGGTTGGTGATGAAGGGTTTGGCGTCCACCCTCTTCCTCTGGATCTCGGCGCCGTTCTTCACCCACAGGTTCACGAGCGTCACGCCGGACATCTCGTTGCCGTGCGTTCCGCCGAATATCGCCACCCTCCGGGCCTCGTCGAAGCGCGCGCCGTTGTTGCGGGAGGACATGGTGACGAAGACGAAGGTGAGAGATGAGAGGAGATGAAGAGTGCGGGGTGGAGGTGCTGCCGCTGCCGCCGGAGGAAAACTTTCAGTCGTGGCAGCTTCGCACACTCGCGGTTTAAATGCCTGCTGTGGCGGCTGCGCGCTTACGTAACGTGACCGCTGGCTCGCCGTGCTCAGTCACCGTGCGTGACACGCACCTCCAGCGAGCACGTGAAGCGTAAAGAACCGAGACTCCGAACCAGCTCCCGTTGTTTACCTACACACTTCCGAACATGTGGAGGTCTGCAGCCAGGACCTCTTGAAATAAACAGAGGGTCCTGGCTGCAGACCTCCACTTTGAGGTCGCTTCCGGTGCAGGCTCCACCGTCAGGACACCTCCACTGTCAGGACAC